TGTTTTGCAGTGTGTATGAGCACATGTAATTCTAACATTGTACCAATGCTGAAAAGCATAAAGCTAATTGGAAAGGCTCACTAGAAATTGAATTGTGACAGGGTATACTTTAGATAAGAGAAAAAAAAGAATGTAGCTTGTGATAGGATTGAAAGTTAATCCTGGTATTTACTGTAATCCAATATTTAAGGTTAAAAGGAGTAAAAACTCTTTATGCAGCACACAACTGTGGGGTTGTTATATGATTTGAAATAAGAAAAAGGAAATGATCTGGAAGAGTGGGTTCCTATATACTGTCTACAGCAGTGATTCCCAAAGTGGGTGATACCACCCCATGGGCAGTGCCGAAACAATCCAGGGAGGCGATAGTAGCCTCAGGGGTGTTGAATAAAAATAAGGGGGTGGTAGAAGCATAAAGAAAGAAGAGGAGAACATTTTGAAAAAAAAAACGTATATACATGTTTTGTCTGTTGTGTAACATAGCGGTAAAGTCATAGTGATTTAATTATTTTCCAAAATATACACACAAAATGCAAGTTACAACCGATCAGTAGTCAAGTCTGCCAACAGGTCTTATGTCCCAACTCTGGGCAGAAAAAAAATGATCCCTTGCAGTGGGGCTGCACTGCAGGGGTTAAGTGCTCTTTTCTCCAGGTGAGAGGAGAAACCCTTATACTTACCCAATTCCATGGGCTGTGTTTGAAGGGTCAAAGGAGCCACAATGGCAACTCTGACAATGCTTCAGTGGGCCCATTTGGCCTCTGTCATATTAGTTTTTACACTGTGACACTGGAGAAAAGCTCTTGCTGCATCACCCTGCATAGGCAATTCAGTAAACTTAAAGGGCGTGGACTGGCTGGGCAGGGGACAGGCCTGGGTCCTCTAAGTTTCTAGTTTCACCTACACTAGGTGATAGGGCAAGCCCTTTCTCCTAGTAATGGACTGTTCCTGGTGTCCTCACGTCCAGAGCAGGGCTGTGGATGCTACTCTGGGCTTGATGATGTCAGAACTCAAGACCGCTGGAGCGTAGGGATGCAGAAACTGCAGGGACTGGTCTTGTGCAGAGAGGAGAGGAGGATCGAGAATGTATATCTCCATTCACCTTTCCATTAGGACTTAGGTGGAAATTAAATACATAAAATAATTCAGATTTGTCACTGCATCTTTTTGTTTGCTCTCTTAAAGAGTGTGGATACCAAAGAAGGTGTGGGGGGGGTCGGTGGTGCTGAGTAATGTTTTTTCTGAAAAGGAGCAGCAGGCAAAATAAGTTTGGGAACCTCTGCTCTACAGGATTCAAAAAATGCTACTAGTAAATGAATAGGTAAACCAGTCCAAATACTGCTGGGCTGATCAGATGGTTTCTTAAACACTTGAGGGCCCTAGGAGAAACTATGAACACCCTTGGCATTTCCTGTATGGCTAAATATTCCTCCCCCCACCACTGCTGTAATACCAGACAAAATTATCAGGAATGGCTGACCAATCAAAATAGGCAAAGACATAGTAGTAAACACAGATTTTTACAAGTTATCAAAATAAGGACAGAGTTATTACTTGAGCCCACTTGGCTTGCCACAAAGTTGGTGATCCCTCAGGAGAGGACATTAATGAGAATTGAGAAATCCAAGTGTAATAGGTCAAAGAAAGTGACACATAAAAATTCTTTAGGAGTCCAAAGTTTTTGTCGCTCAATTGGTTACAACAAGCAGGGCAAAGGACATCCGACGCATTTTGGGGGCCATCAAGTAAAAAATGGCACAATTTTAAATGGACTCAAAACTACTCCTCAGCAGCAACTGATCTACAGGCAGACAATGTTTTAACTACAGTCAGCCCTGGTGTTCACAGTGAAAATAGCAATTACTTGAATGTGAATAGAGAGCAGTAGCTGTGACTCACTAGGGATGGGGGTCATGTCAGAACACTGCAAAGAGACTTCTGCACAAAGACGTCTGCAGCATGTTGACACGTTTAAACCTGAAAAAAACTTGTATACAAATATATATTTTAATAGCCACAATGAATATGAATTCACTTTGAATGCACCAAATGCCTTTGCACACTATCAGATATAACAGTCACTGTGCTGCACATAGCCAGTGCACAGAGCAGAGCTATTGGAGGTACTCAGCTGTTCCCATTATGAGATGAACCCAGTAGATACCCGTACAGGCTGCCTACGGAACACTACATGGAGGGGCAGAGACAAGACCAGTCACCCTGCATGAAGAGAGAGAGCAGAAATGACTGGTCTTTATTACAGGAAGCTTATGCACAGAGGAAAAGTTTCATACTGGTGCACAGATGTGGAAGAAATATACTGTACAATGCACACCAAGATTCAAGTAAGAATAAACATGCCTCTTGCACATAGATGATATTTTATTATCCCAAAATTCAACCTTAAGGCTTTTGGGCTGACACTGGAGCACGATTCACCAACCAAAAAAGCAAGATATTTAAAAATACATGTTTTTATGTACCCGCCATTGAGATTTTGGTTTTAAACAAACTGCCAATGGGTAATAAGCTTTGGCCATATATGGAGTGTTGTTTAGCTCACGTGTAGCGCTCACCAGTAAGTACAGTCCATGCCAGTTAAGGGCTTGTTGGCCCACTTTTATTAAACAGAAAGAAAACGTCTAACAGAACAAATGGCTTCCCTTACAGGGGCTTCCACCCTCAACACGTCGTAAAGTAATATTCAACTTCCTGTCTCTCCTTAGCAGCACTGCTCTTCGGACCTTGTGCCCTGGTCCTCCTGACCATCTAACACAGCATCCCATGTTCATGTACAAATGCTGTACCTCTGTCATCTCTCTTTCTGGCAGCTCACTGCTGCTCCTGCTCTAAGGCTTGGGCCCTCTGCCTGTTGTATCACATACTGCACCATGCAGACATGCACACTTCTGGCTGCTCCTTTGCAACAACATGGACTCCTTGGGAGGGTGGAGACCAATCTATTGTCAGGTTCTAGACTATACCTGGTATGAACACCTGTGCCATTAATATGCCGTTGTCTGCAAAACCTGGTCTCATGATTGGAGATTTCCTCCTTCACAAATCACTATGAAATCTACAGGCTCCAAGTCCCAAACTAGGTTTTACTAACCACTGAGGAAACTGCAAACCCTGTTTCCTCCAAATTAAATAAGCATTATGGAGACCCTGCCTAGTTGAGAATTCTGGGTGACCTAACACCCTTTTAACACCATGAAATGGTGCTGTACTATCAGAGGAAATATAGAATTATATAGGTAATTGATATAATTGCAGCATGGGGTCCTTTTAAAACTTGTTTTAAAAGCATATAAACAAATTGATAATATCTTGCTTTTCCTTCTGAAATGAAAAGTAAAGTTTCACTTAGACATTAGAAAAGGTTAGAAAGTCATTTAGGCCAGTGAACCTGTGTTTACTACAAATAAACAACCATGACCAGAGTGCAATGGAATAAATAAAAATAGCAATTTCCATTGCAGATGATTGGATGATTGAAGTGAAGACAGCTTCAAATGTGCTGAGTGAAGATTCTATTCCTTTGGTAAATCATCCTCTGAGTCTTCAAACTTGACAGCATGTTCTGCTCATGACTTCATATGACCGATGTTCCTGTTAACAGGAAATGGTATTAAAGTTATTATTAGAAATGATGATCCCTGTAAATCTTGGCCGTGATGAAAGGTAAAGCTTCATATATCGTGTGGACCTTGAAGTACTTGTAGAAAAGGCCATCCACTCTATGCTCCATTATTGCATCTGAGATTATTGCGGTTCAGAAGGGCCAATACAAAGACCCCAAACCAGCGTTGTAGGACTTGACTTCTGCTTTTCTTTCTCTCGTCTGTAATGATCTTTTTTTACATTTTTATTACCACAAACAGAAGATGGGAATACTTGAGGGATTTGAAGGTTGTAATTATTTCTGACAGCTGCGCTATTAGAATTCCTGCTATATATCTGATTCTTCACAAGGTTAGCATCTATAGAGCTTAGAGATCACAATGCACCGACGGGTCACCTTTTTTCAATGAAGAATGAGGAAAAACATGACACATGCCTTGCCCTTCCTTATTGTTCACTTTAACTCATTATCCCTAGCCACTTGACACATTGCACAGCAACAAATATGGGCTCCTGTTATGTCCTTATTTCTTTTATTCTTCCCAGGTTATATAAATATGTGTGCATAGTGTGTTGTGAACCATTACAATGGAAGAACAAAGGAGATAGGATAGTTGTTGCATTATCATTTTTGTTATTGACATTATTATATGGTAAGTGCTCAACATCCCTTCAATCTTTTGAACAGAATGCTGTACACTAGGCCATCTACACAAGCAATGCAATCATTTAAAGCAATAACTGGCTAGCATGGGGGCACAATGAATAGACCATTGGCCAAATGTAAAATTAAGAATTGAGATTTCTGTTAAGTGAACCCAGCTATTGAAATTCATTTATAATATTTGTAAACTTGCAGATTTTGATAAAATAATATCTGGTGACACTGCCGTGATGGTTCTTGGTCAAGCATTCCCTGTTATAGGGTGTCCCTCTTTCATCCTTAGTTGTTCCTCTTTTGATCTGATAAAATTACCTCTGTTGGAAATTGTATGGTCACCATTATTAGCTATTAGAGATGAGCGAAGTATTCAAAAATTCGATTCGACTGATTCGGCGAATTCGTGGACAATATTCGATTCAAGTCGAATATATTCGCTGTGAATTTAACTTAAAAAAGGGTGTTTCTAGGCTTCAGAGAGACTTAATATTAGTGCAGAACACTGTACCTTTAATTTAAATGCCCTTGGAGTCTGCTGGGGAAGAGAAATAATACTGTCAGTCAGTATGACATGCAGATGAGTGCCGTCGATCTTAGAATCACCGCACACTTCACTCATTTGGCCAGTCACGGGGCCAAAACCAGAGTGTGGAGCCACAGTGTGGCGGTGGAGGCAGCAGCAATGGGAGGCCATACAGCAACCTATGACAAAATGGAAACCAGCAGGAGTGTGAGGAGACCTCAAAGTGGCACATGGCAGAGTGGGAGCAATGGAGAGGCGGTACAGGGACCCATGTCACACTGTGGACCCAGCAGCAGCGTGACGAGGCGGTACGGGGGCCCATGGCAGATTTGGGGCCTGGCAGCACCTATGGGAGGCCTGTAATCTGCCAGCAACCTATGACAAAATGGAAAACAGCAGGAGTGTGAGGAGACCTCAAAGTGGAACATGGCAGAGTGGGAGCAATGGGAGGCGGTACAGGGACCCATGTCACACTGTGGACCCAGCAGCAGCGTGACCAGGCGGTAGGGCCCATGGCAGATTACAGGCCTGGCAGCAGCAATGGGAGGCCCGTAATCTGTCAGCACCCTATGACAAAAAATGGAACACACCAGCAGCAGTGTGTGAGGAGACCTGAAAGTGGCACATGGCAGAGTGTGGCGATGGAGACAGCAGCAATGGGAGGCCGTACAGGGACCCATGAGAGACTCTGGACCTGGCAGCAGCATGAGGAGGCGGTATAGGGGCCCATGGCAGATTAGGGGCCTGGCAGCAGCTATGGGAGGCCCGTAATCTGCCAGCACCCTATGTCAAAAAATTCAACACACCAGCAGTGTGTGAGGAGACCTGAAAGTGGCACATGGCAGAGTGTGGCGATGGAGACAGCAGCAATGGAGGGAGGCCGTACAGGGGACCCATGACAGACTCTGGACTTGGCAGCAGCATGAGGAGGCGGTATATAGGGGCCCATGGCAGATTAGGGGCCTGGCAGCAGCTATGGGAGGCCCGTAATCTGCCAGCACCCCTATGTCAAAAAATTCAACACACCAGCAGTGTGTGGAGAGACCTGAAAGTGGCACATGGCAGAGTGTGGCGATGGAGACAGCAGCAATGGGAGGCCGTACAGGGACCCATGAGAGACTCTGGACCTGGCAGCAGCATGAGGAGGCGGTATATAGGGGCCCATGGCAGATTAGGGGCCTGGCAGCAGCTATAGGAGGCCCGTAATCTGCCAGCACCCTATGTCAAAAAATTCAACACACCAGCAGCAGTGTGAGGAGACCTGAAAGGCACATGGCAGAGTGTGGCGATGGAGACAGCAGCAGCAATGGGAGGCCGTACAGGGACCCATGAGAGACTCTGGACTTGGCAGCAGCATGAGGAGGCGGTATATATAGGGGCCCATGGCAGATTAGGGGCCTGGCAGCAGCTATGGGAGGCCCGTAATCTGCCAGCACCCTATGTCAAAAAATTCAACACACCAGCAGTGTGTGAGGAGAGACCTGAAAGTGGCATGCACATGGCAGAGTGTGGCGATGGAGACAGCAGCAATGGGAGGGCCGTACAGGGACCCATGAGAGACTCTGGACCTGGCAGCAGCATGAGGAGGCGGTATAGGGGCCCATGGCAGATTAGGGGCCTGGCAGCAGCTATAGGAGAGGCCCGTAATCTGCCAGCACCCTATGTCAAAAAATGGAACACACCAGCAGTGTGAGGAGACCTGAAAGTGGCACATGTTTGGGGCATGATTCATGGCGGATTTAGTCAGTTTGTGTCAGGAACTGGTGGTTTGAAATCCAGACTAATCCACGCCTGATTCATTTTCACAAACGTGAGTCTCTCTCCACACTTTGGGTGGACAGTCGTGTCCTCCGCGGAGTTGGGAATACCTCCTGCCGCACTAAACAACACACACGCGCTCCGATGCCACGCTACTGGCCGGGCATGACAGCCTTTCAAGGGCAAATTCAGCTAGTTGGGGCCAAAGGTCAAGTTTCGTTGCCCAGTAGTCAAGGGGATTGTCTACTCGGTTGGCAGGGTGCTGTCCAAGTAGGCCCAAAGCCTGTTGTTTGAGGTCCTGCTCCAGGTCCACCTGACCTGCTGCTGCTGCTAGCGGCTGGTTAGTAGTTTCCTCACTGCGCTGGTGAAGAAAGCTACTCATCATCGACTGCAGACTGAGGCAGCCGCTGCTGGTGGAGCTGCCACTGCTCCTACCACCCACCCCCCCCTCCCCCCTGCTGCCATGGCAGCGGAACGCGAGCGCACAGGGCCCACAGTGTCTGAGGATGGACATTGGCGCAGAAAGGCAGAGACCAGCTGACTACATAGGTGGTTTTTTATAGTACGTTATTTTGGCCTCCCTCTCAGCAGGTGTGAAAAAGGCCACCATTTTTGAACGGTAGCGAGGGTCCAACAAGGTGGACAGCCAAAAGTCATGTCATCCCTCTGTCTGATGGTTATTATTCGGCTGTCGCTACGCAAGCAACCGAGCATGCTATGGGCCATTTGTGCCAAGGAATGCGAGGGACTCCTGCCTCCATCTCCACAGCATACTGCCACGGTGCGTCTGGGTCCTCTGTCTCCTCCTCCTCCTCCTCCTCTACCAGATGCTCCTGCTCCTCCACTCCTGTCCGCTGAGTGGAAAAACCACCCATTTTCACTCAATAATTCCTGAGCACAAAATGTCCTCCTCTACCTCCTCCTCTTCTTCCTGTCCTGCCCCCACAGGGGTCATGTGGGCGTTGAGATCTGTGCGCCACGTCTACCGCACCCTGACCAGCCATTGTTAACAGCATTTGTTCCAGGACGTGCAACAGAGGAATGACGTTCATCCCATAGTCCTGCCGACTCACGAATAGCGTGGCCTCCCTCAAAGGGCCTGAGCAAGCGGCAGGTGTCACGCATGAGCTGCCAATGGCTGACATCTAAGTTACACAGGGGAGTACCTTTATCCGCTTTTAAACATCAGGAAATCGGTGATGGCCTTTCGCTGTTCGTAAAGGCGGTCTAACATGTAGGGTAGGTATTCCACCTTGTTGCAACGTCGCAGATCAGGCGATGCTGTGGCAATTCCGTTCTGCCGCTGCAGCTCAAGGAGGGTGTGCTTTGCGGCCCCTAGGAATGGCTGAAATGCATGCAAAGTTTACGTGACATTTTAAGGATGTCTTGCAGTGGGATGGTGGATTTTAGGAACCGCTTGACAACCAGATTGAACACGTGAGCCATGCATGGCGCATGGCACAACCTTACTTGACGCAGCAGGGGACACCCATGTTCTTTCCACCCTGTCGTCAAAAATGGTTCCGATTTTGAGTTTGCCGGAAAGTGGCCATCATGTCAGATTTCTCTGTTCAGACACTGAGAAGTTCCTCCTGAGGCCTGTGTGACCCACGTTCGCCTGGACCAGGCAGCAGCATGAGGAGGCGGTATAGGGGCCCATGGCAGATTAGGGGCCTGGCAGCAGCTATGGGAGGCCCGTAATCTGCCAGCACCCTATGTCAAAAAATTCAACACACCAGCAGTGTGTGAGGAGACCTGAAAGTGGCACATGGCAGAGTGTGGCGATGGAGACAGCAGCAATGGGAGGCCGTACAGGGACCCATGACAGACTCTGGACTTGCAGCAGCATGAGGAGGCGGTATATAGGGGCCCATGGCAGATTAGGGGCCTGGCAGCAGCTATGGGAGGCCCGTAATCTGCCAGCACCCCTATGTCAAAAAAATTTCAACACACCAGCAGTGTGTGTGAGGAGACCTGAAAGTGGCACATGGCAGAGTGTGGCGATGGAGACAGCAGCAATGGGAGGCCGTACAGGGACCCATGAGAGACTCTGGACTTGGCAGCAGCATGAGGAGGCGGGCGGTATATAGGGGCCCATGGCAGATTAGGGGCCTGGCAGCAGCTATAGGGAGGCCCGTAATCTGCCAGCACCCTATGTCAAAAAATTCAACACACCAGCAGTGTGTGAGGAGACCTGAAAGTGGCACATGGCAGAGTGTGGGCGATGGAGACAGCAGCAATGGAGGCCGTACAGGGACCCATGACAGACTCTGGACTTGGCAGCAGCATGAGGAGGCGGTATATAGGGGCCCATGGCAGATTAGGGGCCTGGCAGCAGCAGCTATGGGAGGCCCGTAATCTGCCAGCACCCTATGTCAAAAAATTGAACACACCAGCAGTGTGTGAGGAGACCTGAAAGTGGCACATGGCAGTGTGGCGATGGAGACAGCAGCAATGGGAGGCCCGTACAGGGACCCATGACAGACTCTGGACTTGGCAGCAGCATGAGGAGGCGGTATATAGGGGCCCATGGCAGATTAGGGGCCTGGCAGCAGCTATGGGAGGCCCGTAATCTGCCAGCACCCTATGTCAAAAAATTCAACACACCAGCAGTGTGAGGAGACCTGAAAGTGGCACATGGCAGAGTGTGGCGATGGAGACAGCAGCAATGGGAGGCCGTACAGGGACCCATGACAGACTCTGGACTTGGCAGCAGCATGAGGAGGCGGTATATAGGGGCCCATGGCAGATTAGGGGCCTGGCAGCAGCTATGGGGGCCCGTAATCTGCCAGCACCCTATGTCAAAAAAAATTGAACACACCAGCAGTGTGTGAGGAGACCTGAAAGTGGCACATGGCAGAGTGTGGCGATGGAGACAGCAGCAATGGGAGGCCGTACAGGGACCCATGACAGACTCTGGACTTGGCAGCAGCATGAGGAGGCGGTATATAGGGGCCCATGGCAGATTAGGGGCCTGGCAGCAGCTATGGGAGGCCCGTAATCTGCCAGCACCCTATGTCAAAAAAATTGAACACACCAGCAGTGTGTGAGGAGACCTGAAAGTGGCACATGGCAGAGTGTGGGCGATGGAGACAGCAGCAATGGGAGGCCGTACAGGGACCCATGAGAGACTCTGGACCTGGCAGCAGCATGAGGAGGCGGTATATAGGGGCCCATGGCAGATTAGGGGCCTGGCAGCAGCTATGGGAGGCCCGTAATCTGCCAGCACCCTATGTCAAAAAATTCAACACACCAGCAGTGTGTGAGGAGACCTGAAAGTGGCACATGGCAGAGTGTGTGGCGATGGAGACAGCAGCAATGGAGGCCGTACAGGGACCCATGACAGACTCTGGACCTGGCAGCAGCATGAGGAGGCGGTATATAGGGGCCCATGGCAGATTAGGGGCCTGGCAGCAGCTATGGGAGGCCCGTAATCTGCCAGCACCCTATGTCAAAAAAATTTGAACACACCAGCAGTGTGAGGAGACCTGAAAGTGGCACATGGCATGAGAGACTGTGGACCTGGCAGCAGCATGAGGAGGCGGTATAGGGGCCCATGGCAGATTAGGGGCCTGGCAGCAGCTATGGGAGGCCCGTAATCTGCCAGCACCCTATGTCAAAAAATTCAACACACCAGCAGTGTGTGAGGAGACCTGAAAGTGGCACATGGCAGAGTGTGGCGATGGAGACAACCCACCGACTGTTTTGCTCGCTGCCAAGCTGCCACCCTCTTCTCCTGATGATGCGGAAGCAATAGCCTGATGACGACGAGGCTGCCAAGTGCGATCAGCCTCATCATCATCAATTAGGGTCTCCGCCTCACTACTAGCCCCCTCGGCTGCGTGTGGGTCAGGAGACAGACCTGTCTCTACACCGGCTACCGAGCCACTCTCCTCGCCACTACTTCTTCGCCTGGCTGCTGAAGAGGCGGATGTCTCCCCCCGTTCCTGACCGCCCTCTGTTAGCTCTTCCTCACTGTACTGGATGACACCGGGAGCACTAGCCTCTGGCTGCGAATAGTGCTGCCTCGACCCCTTCCTCTGCTGCCACGTCTGCTCGCTCCTAAAACATTGCCTCCTCTGCCACTCCTCTGCATGTTGTCTGACATACTCTTTAATTAAACGATTCTGTGTCCCTGAGTAACAATTCTGTGTCCCTGAGTAACGTTTTGTGGCCCTAAGTAACAGTTCTGTGGCCCTAAGTAACAGTTTCTGTGGCCCTCAGTAACAATTCTGTGTCTGTCCCTGAGTAACAATTCTGTGTCCCTCAGTAACAATTCTGTGTCCCTCAGTAACAATTCTGTGTCCCTGAGTAACAATTCTGTGGCCCTCAGTAACAATTCTGTGTCCCTCAGTAACAATTCTGTGTCCCTGAGTAACAATTC